GTTCAATATTTTATTATTGGTCCAAAACAAAATCTGTTTGTCGGTGAAACACTTGTGACAGAGAAAGACAAATATACAATTATGATGCTCCCAATGTAGCTTTTTTGCCGTGGCGCCATCTACTTGAAATTGCTTGAACTGTTTTCACCTTCAAAATTCGTTTTAAGGTCATCTGAAAAAATCCGCAAAATCCTTTGGCATAAACATTATTTGATATATTATCTACAATCTCTACAATTAGCTTTTTTTAGTTTTTCGTGGTTAAAAATAAAAAATGCTTTTCACGGATCCAAGCTTGATAAACATGCAAGTATGCAACTATCAACACATTTAATTGTTTTGGTGGTTGCGAACATGATTTTTGAAGAAAAAAAAGGCTGAATATCGAAAAACCAAAAAAAGGAATTGTAGATAATCGATCAAATAATGTTTATGCCAAATTTGAGCCAATTCTGATGTGCCGTTTTTTTAAAGACCTTAAAACAAGTTTCGAAAAATCAACCAATCACAGTTTAAACATGGCGGCCATTAACGCGGCCTTAAGGCATTCATATTTGGTTCTATCTGAAATTGAGATTTCAACGATGTTTTTATTAATACAGAATTATTGCAATAGGTAACTATAAATACAGCGAACTAAAATGCACATAACTGGTTTAATAACTGCCGCCGTTCTGCATTTCATTGTATACTGTCGCGAAATCTCTGTATCGCGGTATGATTTGGAGTAGAAATAGGCGCGTATTGTAACTTCATATCCCACTATGGTATAGAGTGATGTCCATCTGTATCCCGGTATGATTTGGAGTAAAAAGACGCGCGTTTCCCATATACAATTTATACTACGGTATAGAATGGCATTCATTTGTATAATGTTATAGAATGCAAATACGCATGCAACGCATACGCATTTCTCTTGGTTGGTGACTACAACTTATCTAGGGCCAAATGGGGTAATGATAGTGTAGGGTTAACTGTGGAACGTCCTGATAAAGACTATGCTCATTGTATAGCAAATAATTTTACTTTTTTCAGCATAATTCTGTCTTAAATAATCGAGGTGCTTAACTGAACCTAGTTTTCAGTAATTTTGTTGACCTTGAAGTTTCGCCTGCTATTGATCGGTTTTTTGACAATAATTTTTAATCATACAGCTATTTCTCTTGAGCTTTTCCCGAAACTATCGTTAGAACGGATGGAATACGAGGAATATTTTCATGATTTTAGAAACGGTGAATATCTCTCTATTAATAATTATTTAGCTGGTGTCAACTGGAGTGAGGTGTTTGAGGGAAGCTCGGTTAGTACTTTTATTCCTCTAAAGAGATATCGTACTTCTACCTTTCCGAATTGATTTAGTTCTGATCTACGATCTACGGAACTTGATTGTTAGTAAAAAATAGATACTGGGACATAGAAAATTTGAAGGGACCAATGATAATCAGGTGGACTATATTTGCTTTTCAAACTTTGGAGAGCAATGCGAGACTTTGCGTAGAACTTGCTATCAACAGTATAAAAATAGAATTGAGAAAAACTTATCTGTCAATCCACGATGTTTTTGATCATATATCAATAACTAGGAAGAACACAACAATTTTTCCTCTCTACAAGATTGTCTTACAACGGGAGAGTCATTGATGACCCAGCAGGTGTCACTAGTGATGTAGGCCAGGTAAATACCCAGCTGGAAGGATATTTATAAACTGGCAATTTACCCGAGTATTCAGGTATCGAATGCCATTATGAATACCTAAAACAAGGGGCCTTTTTAGTTTGTTGTTGTTCGAGGGCCAATTTCATTCGATTTTTCTCACTATCGATAACTATCGATATAGCATTATCGATAGCTTCGTATCTACACTACGAACCGCAACCATAACCTTACTTAAGTATATGGCGTTTCCGATTGGTACATGCGCACTGAGTGTATTTTCTCTTTCAGCCTGTTAAAAAGATAGATGGAAATACATTTCCTTTGCGACCTTTGCACTACCTACCAACCGGAAACGCCACCCGGGTATTTATGAATTTGGAGTATTTATCTGGGTATTTACACTGGGTATTAACGCCGAGACATAGATGCCCGAGTATTTCACAGCACTGGGTGTCACTGATCTGTTTGCTAAGTATTTTTCTACTGTATACTCTCATCCTTTCAATTCGACAACTCAATGAGCATAAGCAGAATCCAGCTTTCTTTGAGAGATGTTTTCGAATCGATAAAGGGATGTAAGGATAAGGTGAGTGCAAGCAGGCCCAATGGAATACCAGGTTTTTTTCTGAAAAGTTGTATTTGTGCGTTGGTCTTACCAAATTCGCAAATTTTCAATAGATCTCTGGACACAGGTTGCTTCCCAAAATTTTGGAAGGGAAGTTTCTTCAGACCAATCTACAAGTCTGTAGCCAGGGAGGAGGCCACAAATCACCAGGCGGTTTGTAATCAGTTAGAAATACTTAAATTGCTTGACTTTTTAGTAAGTAAAGAGCTGTCCTGGACTTTTCGAAATTTGATCAGTCCAAAGCAATTTTGTTTTGTAAAAGGGTAGATACACTGACTTAAACTTATTATTTTATTATGGTAACTACATTTTTATTTGCTTGGAAAGAGGCGTTCAGGTTGACTTTGTCTGTACCGATTTTTCTAAGACCGGGTCAATCATAGGGTGCTTCGTCACGAGCTTAAGGCTTTGGGTATGTATCATCCTCTTCATTCTTGGATTTATGATTCCTTGACTGACTGAAAGAACGCAAATGGTCCCCTCCTGTTTCGGACGAGATTGAGTTTCTTCTGAAGTACCCCGGGGTTCTCTCTGTGGCCCAGTACTATTTTGCTTGTTTTTAACGGACACTGTTTGTCTACAGGATGATTTGGATTCTTTTTATGAGTGGTGTGTGGAGAATAGAATGACTTTAAACATAAACAAGTGTCATAGATCACTTCTACTAGACAAAGAGACCCGATTAACTTAGTGTAGTGTGATGTTATTAACAGAAACTTGACGTCATTTACTTCTTCTTTAGAAAAAGCCAACTTTATAATACCTGGTCAAGTCCAAATGGTACGAGAAAAATCCCGACAGGTGGCGACCACAGGCTGGTATGAAAAGAAGTAAGAAAATACGGTCCGCATGGAAGAGCAAAAATGGTGTCAAAGATCTAGGGCTGAAAATCAACTTCCACCGAGAATAAAGCTGGATATCAAGGGGAAATTGCAATAAAGCTGAGACGCTTAGATCATCTAAAAGACGAAAAAACGAATGTTGACGATTTGCGAATGTCGTCCAGCAATACATTTCAAAATCTGCTAAAAATGATAGCTAATTGTCAAGATGGGAGCTTTTTCGGATTTGGGAATTTTGCAGTACATAAAATATTCTCATATATTATTATCCAATCTCATATAATTTTATACAGGATCTCCTATTTTCAAAATTCAAGTATCTGGCAACCCTAAATAAATTCCACCAGAAATACTAGACCATATATTAACTCTTTCCACAGCTAAACACCAACTTCTTCTTATTTGTTCATTTTTGGGGTTTGGGATTTTCTTCGAATTTAGATTACTGTTTTTACAAGAAGGCACAAAACATTTACGAAAATCCATAGCCAAAAAGTGAAAATGTTTAAATTTCAAATTAATTTAAATAAACCAGGAAACAATTTTCAATGCAACCAATATGACATGGCTAAGTTTTAGGCCTCACTATATCGAAAAATAATGGTCAGTATAATTTTAATGATAGGAGGTAACGACCCTGTTACAATTTATTTAATTTTTTTACTCTATTTAAAAATAAATTTTGATGTTTTGAATTATTTCTTATGCTTTTCTACGGGCGGGACGCAGTGCCGCAGCGCGCCCGCTAATGTGATTTTCAAATACGCACCTGCCCGAGGGTTATTGAACAAGCTCGAAACCTTGGCAAAGGTGGCTAACTCAACTAACCTGCAGGACAATTGCTTTCGAACAGAAGAAAAATTTCGCCTAGCTTTCAAGCTCAATATTTTTGGCCATATATCGATCTCCGGTTTTCACGGGCCAACAGATTGACTTTTTGTGAAAAAAATTGTGTAGTGTATGGAAACCAGAGGTTGATGTTTTGCTTCCACAAATATCGAGCATGAAAGTTAGGCAAAATTTTTCTTCTGTTCGAAAGCGATTGTCCAGCAGTTTAGATTGAAAGCTACTTAAAGGCAGAATGCGAGTGGTATAAGTGAACAACTTTCTGTCTCAGATCTTCGTGTCATCTGGGGTTCCTCAACGCTACAATATGTTTGTGAATCTGGACAATGTCTTCCCCCAATCACTGCAATGGAAATGTAAGCTTATAAGGTTCCATAGCTACAATCACTAGAATATTAGAATATTGGAAAAAATATAGAGGTAACAAAGCACAAATAAATCACAATAAGAACAAAAATTTTCAGTCCTTCGCAAACATGCAACCGGAGGAACATTGAAAATGATGAAGTGCAATGCAAAATTTATGTGATTTAGATTGTGATAAATGTGGCAAATGTGGCAAATGTAGCACGCACTTTTTAGCGATTTTAGCTCCCATACTAGCATAACAGAAACATTTTCAATGTTATAATTTATGCGGATTGAATGATGGAATCGCAAAAAAAGTTACATACATTAATCCCAACAAAGAGCCAAAAAGCAAATTACGGGCTATAGAAATGCGGTATACGTATAAATGGAAGAAGTGAAAAGAAGAACGAATAGAAAATGTAAAAAGCATACAGAACCCACAAATAAAATATATGATAGAATTTTCAAAAACACTTAGATGGAAGAGAGAATGACGAAGACTAGATAAGTAGAGTAACGTTGATGAGCCAAAACACAAGAAAAAGAAGAGGACTAAGAAAACAATATGATAATGTAATAAAGAAAATACGGAACAAAAAAGTAGAATCATAAAGGTAGTAAACAATCGCTAGTACTAAAAAAAAAAGTGAAGCGAAATATTAAAGCAAAAAGACCATACTTCTACAACACCGTATATTATTTGAACAACCAAAAAACAAAATATAATAATTTAGTATAGGCACGTTTCAAAATTGATTTCCGAACTTTTACTGCTACAAATTTGAAAGTCACACATAAGAAAATCTAAGTAAAAATAAGTTAGTTTTCAGGCAAAACAGGAGCCTGACCATCTTTTTCAGCTTGCTGTTCGCGATCAGAAGAAACAGTACTTTCCGGAGAAGACAACGATTCCTCACAGTCACAATCGCAAAATCCCCCTACCGACGCCATGTCCAAAATATCAGTTTCATCAATCGAATTATCTCCAGTATCAATGCTCGTGTCTAAAGAAGCAAACAACCCCATCAAAGCTTCTGGTTCGCTCAAATCACTTTCGCTACTGCTGCTGGTAATTATCAACGGTACTGCATTCAATAGGTTGGGAGAACTTGAAGATACTCCCAACGTCAAAGTCTGACGTTGAGAGCCAACCTGAGTCTCTATGGAACTGTTTAATCCAGAACTGCTGCTGGATTTATCATTGTTTGCCTGAGATTCTGTAGGGCAATTGGTAGATACAGTTTTGTTGTGGGAGTCACTAGTACTACAGCTAGCCATATTTATGGTCAAGCTGGTCAAATCAGGATGATTGAAGATTTGTTCAGATTTAAAAACTCGAGAAGTTGATGGTTCAGAATGACTACTTTCTGCAACGTCGTTAGTTATTATTGATTGCATAGGCTCTAGATTGAACTTGCTTTTTATTCGGGCTGCATTGGGTACGTCTCCTTGAGAGTTAGCGTTTATATTAGCAGTTGCAGTGTTTCTTGTTATTTGGACCGCTGACTCACTCGCTTGCGACATAATATGTGTGTTTTGAGAGGCTTGTAGTTGACTGATGAACCATTGCTGGTCTCTGCATAGTTGGAAATAAGTAGGAGCCCTTACTTGGAATCTGAGAACTAAAGTATCCATTTGAATATTTAAAAATCCCTCGGTGGCTAGCATATCCAAACGGAAAAATCTATTATAGCCCCAGCATTCACTAACTTCAAACTCAGAAGCAAATTCTCTGATGATATTTTTTTCAGAATCTCCAGTCTGGCTTATCATTTCAATTCGATACTCATACTTTGATGTTTCTGGATATCCAGCACCTAGTTCCAAAAATACGGATAAATAGTTGCCACGAACCACACCATTTCCATTGGGATATACTTTGAGTCTCCAACAAAGTCCGTTGTAATGTAATGGTGCTGAATACACAGGTTCAGCTTTAAGTTGTAATTGGCTAAAGTCCCGCATAACAAATCTACTCTTGAAATAAGGTGGAATGATTTCGCTATTAAAATCTCCCGGAATTGGAGCAGTCACAAAACTGGTTAATGGTTTTTTGAGAACGTTTTGAATTATTCTTGTAAGCTCAGCACCTTTTGTAATAAGATCGGATCTGGTGCAAATGTGCAAATGTCGTTCGATTTTTTGAATTAAACGCTCCAACTCATTAGATTCTTGGCCAAGGGAGTTCTTTTGCGTTACCAATGTATTCATTTTGGCTTTTAGCTGAGTGTCTAATCTACCAATCATAAGCTCAACAGTAGTTCTAAGTTCTCTTACCCGTTCATTTTTGGCAGATTCTATAGATTTCACATTTTTTTCAACTTCTTGAGTTATACTAAGAAGTTCAATTGCGCGAGTTCTTAGCTGATCAACTTCGTCCTTTATTTGATTCGCATGCTGCTCATAAACTTCATCCAAGGGTTTGAATGCGTGCCCTGAATGAGTCCCACTCCATAAAGCGCATTGGTGACAAATGCAGCATCGGCAAGTTGTACAGTAAACTGATAACTTTTCCGAATGCGTTGAGCACTTGTCGCGAGAATTTTCTTCATTTCTATCGAGGCTTGCAATTTCCATATTATCTAGTTGTTGAGTGACTTCTTCGACCCATCGGCAATTCACTAGCTCGTGCAAGTGCAAAGGGGCTCTGCAATGGGGACACTGGGATCTTTGCTCGGTCAACCATCTGCTGATGCACTCGTAACAGCACAACTTCGAACAGTGCGGACACAGTTGAGCGTCTCTCAGTTTTTCCATGCATATAAAGCAACGGAAAACGACGGCGAGAGTGGATTCGGAGTTCGAGCGTGTGTAATAATCCATAGTTTTTTTTTGTTACTTTAGAATTTGGTGACAATGATTCTGTCACATATTTTTTGATTTGTCAATGTCATTTTGATGGGGGGCGAGTTCAGATACTTCGATACAGTTTTAGCCATTGAGGTAGAATAATTAGGCAATTCAAACCACGTGACATTCAAGATGGCGTGGCGGCCACACATGGGCCAAAAAACACAAAAAAATATCTAGTTTCTGCCGAATTAATAGTTTAGGTACCTAGTCAACAAATATTCTATTAAATAATGAGAATTAAAGTTGTAAGCAAAACTGTATATAATTTAAAATACGCATAAAAACATATTCAAAACAAACTTGCTTGGCCGCCACACCACATTGAATTTTCCGTTTTGACAGATGGATTGAATTGCCTAATAAGGAGGCGACATGAGGAGAAAAAAGCGTATCCGCTTCCGCCATATCAGGCCCTGCGATCTCTCATTGTCAGTTATAAACCACATAATAACTCTTTTCCGTTTTTCTAGATGTCGCTGACAACCACAGAATTGTCAAAATTGTAAAATACCAGCACATCAAGAACACGTCCGATGTCGATAACTGACATGTCAACATCATATGACAATGATATGCCAAAATATTCATTTGATCATAACTAATAATTCATAATGTTTTTTGTTCACCGGTCTTGCATTTCATCTTTCTTTGTGTTTTCAAGTGTTCTTAAGTGATTTCAAAGTTGTTTTGTGTGTGTTCAAGAAGAAGTTCAAACTTTATAGATTGGAAGATCTATATTTATCTTTGTTGATTAGATAAATGACGGGTTCAATTAAACATCAATCAGAACTTTGAATAAATATGTTGAGGATACCCTTAATCATCGATAAAAAAACTGTCTTTTGATCTAATTAACAAATTATCAATTAATTTAACCAAACATTAATGCCCCAAAGTCTAGAATAAACGAATTTGAACAGACCGACAGTAATGCGAACAGGGCGCCATCTATCATAAAAAGTCCTATGCAAAGTAGGTGTCTGTAGCATCGATGCAAAACCAGTAAATAGTGATTTTCCGATATGGTAGATGGTGCTGGCTTGGCTCAATTTTGTTGACAACAAAATTTACACTGAGATTCCATTCTCGACAGTTTATATAGTATTTATCTCTGCGCCATATTGTTACGACACTTCTGTGTGAGATTCTGTCACCTTTGTCATAGCAACGCGTCAGAATTGCATCAGGGCCGCATTTTCCCTCCGAAGATTTTTTAAATGCGAAAAATTTTGCCCAGAATTCCTATTTTGGGCCTTGGAAGGATCTCCTGTTTCAGTATGTTGAAGTTTCTGTAGCAACTTTTCTTTTCTTGGTGTAATCTGGATTTTTTCACGTTTGTAGATAAAAATTATAAAGAATCCATTTAGTTCGGGTCTGTTTAAGTAGCCATATTGTTTCAACACTTAGCCACGCCCACCGACGCCGTTTTCTGTTGTATTATTCAAATGATCACAGCGTCTCCTTATTATTCTACCTCGATGGTTTTAGCACTGGGACCCAATACGAAATTGGATATGATTTCGAACGCTTCTAGGTTCGTTTCACAGTTGGTCGTAGATTAATTCATATGACACATTCAATTAGGCAATCCAACGATGTGTCAAATATGGCCGACTGTTGGCACACATATGCCCGTAAGATTGACCGTAACTCTAATAGCGTTTTCCGTTTGTCGAACCAGTGCAAGAAATATGTATCATTATCCTTAAATGTTACATGCTTTTAGAAAAAGATGCGGATACACTCAGTGCGCACTGATTGATAAATGGAAATCGTCATTAATTTTCTTGTGTCATCAGTCATCGTCCCTTGTGTTTACCTTTGACGTTGGGGATTTTAACATAATTAATTCCAGCTTTTTATAAATTTCCTTTCAAAATTTTTCTAAAATCTGTTTTTTTTTAAAGATAATTCCCCAAGTCAAAAATTTAGTAACTATGTTGGCAACACAAGCCTTTTCTACATAAAAAAATTGAAAGCATTGACAATTTTACATTGTATTGCCAACATAATTTCATTTTAACTTTTATCTTTAAAAAAAAAAACAGACTTTAAATTATTGTGAGTGAGTTGACATTATCATTAAAATTTGTAAGCAGCTAGACTCTTATAGGCCCTCATGTGTGCATTGGTGTAAAAGCTATGCATTAGAACAATATAGCTAATAATATCCATTGAAGTTAATGGGAGAACACTAGCAAATCCAAAAGCGGCCTCAGGACAGCTTTTCCGCAACTCGCACAAATATGGACTTTCTCTGAAAGCTATATTTCAGTAGAAATGAAAGTTTCAACTCGTGAAAATATTTTCAATGTCTTTAAAAATCTTTATATAGGCTCAAATAAAATAATTTAGGTCTCAGAACTAACAAAATTAAGCAATGAGCGCCAAAATACGCAGTCAACATAGAAAATGACACAATATTGAATCAAGAAAATCTTTTGTGTGCCAACAATCCGTCAAAAAAAGTCACGTGGTTTGGATTGCCTAATTAGGGGATCCAAACCACGTGACTTTTGCCAACCAGCCGGCATTTTGAAATGAGGTTAGAATACGGGTTGTTACATGTCAACGATGTCAGAAAAGTGTCAGTTTTTAGTACTCGCTCCGTGTATTGATAAAGTCGTTTTTTTTACATTGCTTCGACAATTTGACGTTTAATTCACCCATAAAACGTCAAATTGTCGAAGCAATGTCAAAAAAGAGCGAATTTCACTGTTATGAGTACTAGGCTTAATCCTGCCAAAAAAAAAAACATATGTTTTTTGATTATTGTTTGCCAACCAGACGCCATTTGTTTTTTGACGTCATTGATTTGCTTCAGTCAATTTCTATTTGTTAAAACAGGAAGGCATATATCAAAAGCATAGCATGTACCATCGTCACCAAAAGTAACTCGGACAGCATCACATTAGCTCTTGTCCTATTATATGAATTTTATTGTCAAATATTTGTCAAACTATGATTTATTTCATGAAATGAATGACAGTAGAATTAGTCCAGGAGATTATTATGCATTATTTGTGTCGCAGGTACTTTTGGTGACGATGGTACAAAAACAACCCTCGTGAAACAAATTTTATAGGCCTATATATTTTTACCTGTATGCGCGCGCAACACGAGGCAATACCATTTTATTGGCTAACTAGTACAGGTGTGGAGTATTCCTTCTGCACGCTGGGCATCTCCTTGTCCTTGTTAACATCCCTTGGTCTGACAAGGATGAAATTAGGGTTGATATTCAACTTGACGTGGCTTGACAAGTGATCGCTTTTCAAGAACGCATCATAGTTATGACCCTTCAAAAATTGTTTGTGTTTTGATTGACAGATACGTTGCACGTCAACCGGTCTTCCTCCTTCCTTTTTTATCTCGTGCAAATAATAACGGATTGCTATATCCATAATGGCCATTTCCACCAAGCATAAGTTGAGTTTACTTAACGTTAAGTGATCCTTAGGTTAGAATTAGCTTTCCTCCACGCCTATTTTCTTTTGTTAGGGATCACTTAACTGAACCATCACAATTTTCAGCTTAATGGCCACTTATCGTTAAGTAGAGATGTGCGCATGCGCTAACAGCATTCAGATTATTCTATAACATAAATTAGGACCCACAGAACTAAATTATAAGCCAGTTTTCTCCCAAACTCTATTTTTTTTTTGGCCACAGATAAACCGTCTGTGTTTTTATTTCCGAATATGTTCTCATTCAGTAGCAGCTCTTTTTCCTATATTGTATAAGTGTAGTGTAGTTTGGTGTCCGGCTTTTTTATAAAGTAGGTACCCAAATCTTTCACTTAAAATGGAATATTGTCAAAGCTTTACGACACTAGCCAAGCTTGCACTCAAAAACTATGGTAGAACGAAATTATATTTGAGTATCCCTTAACTTTTAGGGAGAACGCACATCAAAGAAACATGAAACATAAAACGTGAAACACGTTTCATGAAAATAGAATAGGGCAAACGATTGACAAAATTGGATTTAAGTGTAATAGTTACACTTATTCAATAGGGAACTTGCACTTTTTTTTTTAATTTCAAAAATGTGTTGTACTACACTAAAGACATAGTCATGCCAAATATCAAGCATTAAAAATCAGCCGTTAATTTTTTATAAATATTTGAAGTTACGCTCGAAACATCGCCATTTGAAACGACCGATTAGTGTGACGTCACTCAGCAATAAAATTCCGTTCACAGTCCTTGGTTGACAGTGACCTGCGAGCAGGTAGATTTAGATTATGGTTATGTTGTTATGTATGCCGTTTATGATAGATTTGACATTGACAACACCAGCAGCACATGGCGTGGCAGCGGTGCGACCCGATTATTACTGCCCTTTGACGTCAGGACACATAGAAATACGTTTTTCTACTGACGTTTCATAATAGCAACTTTTCGATTGTCATTTCAGTTTTGAAACGACATTCTTTTAGGCACTGAGTGCGTGAAAGTTACTTTTAGGCACTCAGTGCGTAAAAGTGACTTTTGAATGCGTAAAAGTGACTTATGAGTGCGTAAAAGTAATTTTTAAGCACTAGTGCCTAAAAGTGTCATTCATTATTCAGAAATAAAAAACACACTAAACACATATTTGAATTTTGTTTTGTATTTATTATGAATATTGAAAATGGAATTACTGAATTGAACGTTTGGGTTACTCAAAACAGAAGTTTGTGTTATTACCTACTTTCTAGGATTTTAATTATTGATGTCGAATTTTGAAAAGAAAATCGCATGAAAAGTGTCAGGTGTCAAGTAAAAGCAGGTAACAAAAATTTTGGGTGTAATCGACTTATTCACATGAAATAAAATTGTGTTTTTTTATTATAAAATGCCAGTAGAAAAAATCTTGTATACAATACGTTACGAAACGATGTCTTTTAGTCACTCGACGTGTTGTCCAACTCGGCTTTGCCTCGTTGGACAATTTTCACGTCGCGTGCCTAAAAGACGCTCATTTCGTAACTTATTGTATAAATAGCT